GCTCTACCCTCCCAAGCATGATACCCCTCTCCTAGGACTAATCCCACCTTGCAACACGTCCAGAGTATGCCAGATGAAGCCTCAGAATCCTTGCCTCCACAGAGCAGCCTGGTCTCACCTTCTTTAGGACGAGCCTGTTTGTTGTCCCTGCAGTCCATGGTATATTCAATACTCTTCTCCAGCATCACACAAAGGCATCAATTCTCCTTCTGTCATCCCTATTCATTGTCCAGCTTTCTGACTCATAGCAAGCAACTGTAAAGACCATGGCCTGAATCACGTGCACCTTAGTTTCCAGACTGGCATCATTGCTCTTCGGTCAGGAGCAGAGACCCTCTGCACATTTAAAAACCAGGAGCCCTATTTGTGGGAAATGCCTTTCTAACTTGCTGAATGGAGATTGGCTGAGCCAGACTTCACGACTTCTTTTCTGTGGCATCTCTCTTCAAATATGTCCAGTCCTTGGAAGGGGCCTTCAAGCTGGGGAAGGAGAAGTGGACCTTTGTGAATTGTATTTGAGTAAGTTATGCACGCACATGCTACCAAAGCCAAGGGCACAAGTGGGTGTTCAGTGTAAATGAGCTTTTCTCTTACCAGTGCACCCCAGCATTGTCACCAGAGGCACCTCTGGGATTGGTTTCTGTGATCAGAAGATTTAACTCCAGTGGATTTTCAGTAATTCAAATGCTGACAGGAATGCGTCCTCCACTGAGGACTAGTACTCCGCATAGACAGGAGCCGATACTCAGGTGAGGTCTAGTCACCCACACACTGGCAGAAGCAGGTCTTCCACAGAGGACTAGTAAACCATACATGGATTGGGGCAAAATCAACACTGAGGACTAGTAATCTATGCACCGACAGGGGCAGTGTTTACTCTGAAGACTAGGAAATATCACACAGACCTTCTTCCCTACCCTCCTTGTCCTCTCTTCTTTTTTGTTTCTTTCTCTTCTTTTTCATTTCTGCTTCCCACTTCCACCTGCTACCAGAATGGTTCCTAGGCTATCTATGACTCTATAAATGATGATAATCATCCCTTTAACTAAGTGGCTTTGAGAGGTAAAGTATTAAGGCACAATTGCCATTTTGACCCTGCCTTCCATGATCTCATTGGCAGCTGGTGTTGCCATGACAACTTGGTACTGCGCTCCGATGGAAAGCAATATATGAACACTGGGTGTGTGTGTGGGGGGTGGTGTTTGAGAAAGAGAGAGGCAGGGGGCGGGGAGAGCAGGCTTTCCATCACGCATCCAGATTGACAGGAAGCCGAGGATTTCATCGTCCATACCTTCTGCTTCTCCATCCAATTTGATCAAGTTTAGCTCCCATGAGCTAAATCAGCTTAAAGGAAATCTGGAGGGTAATTTTTTTTTATTTGGCATTTGGAGTGGCAAATTGGAGCCCAGGACACAGAATAATTATTTTAGAGACTTCATACTGATATGGAATGAAGCAACTATATCCACTTTGATGTCACTCTTTTTTTTATATGTTCTACTCTTTGGGTTGGGTTTTCTGTTTTTATTTTTGTTAACAAAATTCAAATACATTGTTTTCAAGAACAAGTTCTTTCAATTTCTCTCACCCCTCACCCATCAAATTATACAACCCCATGATTAATCACACAAGCATACACACACACACACACACACACACACACATCCCTCTGCTTCCAATCTCTCCCACTTCTCTTGGATCTTTATACTCATTCTACAAAAAATAGTTTTATACAATATTTATCCTTGTGGGACCGAGTTAGTTCACTCGGCAAATTGCTCTCCGGTCCCTCCTAAGTTAGGCAATAATGTACAAAATGATTGCTCCTGCGTGCTGCATAGTATTCCATTCTGTGAATGTACCATAATTTCTCAATCTATTCATTTGTGTTTGGACATTTCTCTTCTAAACGAAACTCAGCTATGGAAGGGCCTTACATAGCATCTAGTCTGACCCTTTTGATTTATTTAGAGGAGAAAACAGAGGTGAAAAGAAGCCAAGTTGTTTGATGCAGCATTGTGGGAGGGAGGTGGGAGAGGTGAGTTGGTACAGCAGGTGAGTGTACAGCCTGGGAGTCCTACAGCCTGGGCTCCGCCATCTCTTCACTGCAGCCTCAACCAACCCCCTCAAGCCTCGGTTTATTCATGCATAAAATGGGGCTACTAGTAAGAACAACCTTATCTGTGAGCTACCTCATCTTGGGTGCGCTTGATGCAATGGCCACTGTTACACCTGGTCAGCGGCTGGCAGATCAGCTCACTCTCGCTTACTTTGGAGCTTTCTGTCTTTTCCCTCACTGTCTTGTGCTTCTTTCTGTGTGCGTGAATTATTTATGTCCCAAAGAAAAGTGGAGGCCCTCATGGAGACACGGTTGAGGTTTTTTTTAAGAACATCTCCAGCAGTTCGAATCTCCCAGTGGCTCCTTGGGAACCAGATGAAGGGTCACCATGAATGAGAATCGACTCAAAGGCAGTGAGGGAATTAGTGAGAGAATAGATCAAGTGAGCCACTTGTTGTTAGCTGTCCAGTGGACTGGCTCATGGCGACCTCACATACAATAGGATGAAACACTGGCCGGGCCTGGGCCACCTTCACCATCAGTGTGAGTGCATGGTTGGGTGCCTTCAAGTCTAGGGGGCTCATTTGCCATCACTGTATCGGAGGATATTCTGTTGTGACTCACAGTGTTTACATTAGCTGAGTTTCAGACCCAGAATGTCAGTCTTTCTGCTGGCTATCTGAACTAAGCATCAAACATGTGCTGAGTGTTCATTGCATGGCTATATTGCAGCAGGGCAAAAAAGTAACACAGAGGTTGATAGGAAGTGTTTCATAGCTCACTCTCCACTGGGTCTCTGAAACTCTAAATTGTAGGATATTTCCCAGGTTTCTCCTCTGGAGCAGCTGGTAGGTTTGAAGCAGCAGAGTGTCAGCCTGTGGGTTAACAGACTAAGTCACCTGTTCCCTGTTGTTGTGTTCTGTTGAGTTGGAACTGACCATCACTGATGCTCTCATGGGCTTTCTGAGACAGTAAATCACAAGAGAAGAGAATGTTTATCCTTCCTTCTCTGGCAAAGCAGCTGGTGGATTTGAACCGTATGCAGAGGTAACTCGTGGTTGCTGTGATGCTAAACTCTGTGACACTGATGTGTCAAATGTGATAATGGTTACCCATGGTGGACAGTGTTTGGTGGAGCTCCCAGATTAAAACAAACTTGGAAGCAGGAGTGGCATCCACTTTCAGAATAGCTTGCCTCTGGAAACTGAATTTAGAGAAACGATGAAAGTTATACAAGTGTTCAGGATTTTTGTTCATAGGGTCACTATGAATCATTTATAACTTAATGGCACTTAACAACAGCCTTTGGGATTGGATTGTAACCTTTTACTACTAGGCCACCAGAACTCCCTACAGCTTCCTAGTAAAAACAAAGGATGAGTGAGGAAAAAATCACCTTAAGGAAAGAAATTATTTTTTATCACCTTTTATGAAGTGAGGGGTTCTTATAAACCTGCCCAGTTCAGTGAGACCTGGATTTTCACTCAGCCCTTGACTTAAGGTGCCGTGAATCCTCAATAGCCTTTCTGGTTCAAAATTATTTCTCAAGCCTTACCTGTGAGTCAAAAGTCTATCTCCAGAGGTGGAAAGCAGGATTTGGATCAGACTTTTCTGTTGCTGACACAAAGCAGAGAGCAGAAAGCACAGCTGTGCAGCTCTGGGACCTGAATCATCCTTTTTGGGCCAAGCGAGACAGGCACAAAGAGTTACACAGAGCTGGGCCGGTTTGTTGAATGCCACTTAAATTACCTTTCATCACTCTGTCAGGAATTAGGGCAATGCAGGGGTATCTTGAAGTCCTGTTCAGAGAAGCAAGCTGTTCTGGGTAAACTGACTTCAAAAGTTATTCTGCAGTGAGAACATACCACGGGAGGGAGCTGGGCAATGCATTGAACCAGCTGGGCTCAGCACAGCTTATGTAAGAGTGGCCCAGTCTCTGGGATAGGCGACAAGCTGGGGCAGAATGAGACCAACTGACTGGTGCAGCAGGCATCAGGAAGACCCAGCAACAGAGTTGGGGGTCAGATGTAGGCAGGGATGCCTGGGGGGCTCTGTGGGTCTCTTGGAGAGAGCTTGGAAAGGGATTAGTTTTTTTCACTTTATTTCCCATTAGGGTAAAGTTGGGGCGGGTGGAGTTTTTGCCAAGGACACATGCCTCTCTGGCTGGATCAGAATTGCAAGACTAGAGAGAGGTCTGGATTATGGAAACACACGTACCAACTGGGTGGAGGGCCTGTCCTACCCCGGTCCTACCTCGAGGGTGTCACTACCCTGATTCAGTAAGTGACAGTGTTATCGCTGAGTCAGGGAGCATTAAGGCCAGTGGAGAGGGAGAAGATCTTTTACTAGATGGCCTGTCAGGGGATGGTGAGGTGGCCCAGGATCAGGCGGGCTTGTTTTCTGTGGTTTGTGGGGTTTCTATGTATTGGAGTCAATTCGATGGCACTTAAAAGTGCAATGTGTGGGCCTGAGGAAATGCTAATTACGGCAATAATCCCCATGATTCATGCATCAAATGCAGAAATCTTTTATCATTAAGTCTCATCGTTGTAGTTCACACGATTTTAAGGTCATTACATTCCAGGAGGTGCGTTGTGGTGGCATCTTTGCACCTCTCCATAACCAGCGAACAGGTTGTGGCATGGACAGGAGGACGAGTTCCATCCGAGGTGATCAGGTGATCGTGCAGGTCTTGAAGGGTCACAGCAGGGCTGGACCCCCAAGTCCTCCGATGGCTGGATGGGCATTCTCCCAGGTCCGGGATGGGGGTGCCCTCTGCTGCTGTGCGGATGGGCAGGCTCAGGGACCCCGGGGAGGAAAGGCCTCGGAGGCGGGGCCCTTATATAACCCGGGTGATGTAACCGTGGCGACGGATCCCGAGGGTCAAGGGCGGGGTGACGGAGCTCAAAGCCGCGAGACTCGGGGTTCGGCGCACCCCAACATGTCCCTCTACCGCAACGTCGTGTGGTTCGCCAAGGGGCTGCGTGAATACACCAAGTAAGAGCAAGCGCGCTGCAGGCTGGAGGGGGGGTGCGAGCAGCCGAGCTGTCACGTGGCCCGAGAGCAGGCAGGCCTGGCGGGGACGCGCCCGCCGATCGTCCATGCGCGGAGCTGCCTTGGCGCGGGTTCAACGGCCCGGCCCGGCTCTCCGCGCTCCCGGTGGGGCGTAGGGGAGGGGCGCGCCCCTGCGGGTGGGCGGGGCTTCACGACAGGCTCCGCCCCATGACGTCACGGGCGCCCCACTGCATGGGCTGGGAGAGGCCCGATTACCCTGTAAGGGCTGTACTTCCTTGATGCTATTGTCGAGTGTGACGCATAGCGACCCCAAGAACAACAGATCAAAACCTCGACAGGTCCTGTGCCATCCACACAGTCCAGCCCATTGCTGCAGTCACAGTGTCAGTCCACCCACTTGAGGGTTCTCCACCTTGCCAAGCCTGATGTCCCTTCTCCAAGGACCAGCCTTTCCTACCAGCATGCCCAGAGAAGTGTGTTTATTTCTCTCTGATGACGTGCTGCACTTGGGCGAGCCGCACACGCTGTTACTGCCCTCAGGGGGCTGCACACCCTGTGGGCACTGGACCACTAGCCTGTGGCCTGCCCTTGGTGACTGGCCTGCTCTTGGTGTGGTTTTCAGGAGGCCAGGTGGCCTGCCAGTTGCCTTCTAATTGATTAGAAGTGCTTAGGTGCTGACTTTTTACCTTATCTGCACATCAAAATCACAGAGGAGCTTTAGAAAATACCAGTGATCTGGTCCCATCCCTGCAGATTCAGTCTGTCCACAGTGGCCCGAGACTGGCATTTTCTTTTACATCCTTGGGCCCAGGTCATGGGTGTGCCCCCCAGCCATCTTGAAGACTTCCCCCTGCTTTGTTTTGAAATGCTCAGGTGCTAATGAAGGCTTCAGCCCTCGTATTGAACCAGAATTATATTTCCTATTTGCATATCCAACCGGATGGCCCAGTAAATTAGAGATCCACCCATGTCCCTTGGGAGAAAGGCCTGGGGATCTGTTTCCCAACATGGAACAGTTTTGGCTTGCCCTGGTTGAAATTGACTTGTTGGCAAGTGTATTTCAGCAGTCCGGGAAAATTTTCACAGTACAGACACAGGCAGAATTCCTCGAGGGGAGACAGCGAGGGCTCCCTCTTCTGTTCACCCCACATCTTAGAAAAACCGCAACCTCCTTAGAGCCCTGTGCTACTGACAGCGGCGGAGGTTCCCCGCTGAATTTGTTGTTAAATGCTGTCCAGTCTGAACGGACTAATAACTGACCCTCCAGCAAGTTGTCAGAGGTTGTAAAGAAGGAGAATGCCCATCCTAGGAGCGGCTGTTGGACTTGAACCTCGGGCCTTTGGGTTGGCAGTGCCACTCCTTACTATTAGGCGAATAATATGGCAACTTTGATGGTATCTGTTCCTCTGCACAGAACTTGGCAGATGAAGAGCTTGTGCTGCCTTCCAACCCTGGGGAGACCTGGCTGGTACAACATCCCTTCAGACTCTTTCATTCTGATTTCTCCACCTTGAGGGAAGGTAGAAGTCGAGCCACAGAGCCTGAGACCCCACCACAGTGGAGGGCAAAGCACAGGCTGATCTCCTTGCTGGGGTGTGTTTTGTGAATCTGGGAAAGAGAAAAGGCATTATTTTGATTTGAATGTGAGAGCTTGTATTTTGGGTTTACAGGGTTTTTTTCCTCGTGCACTAGGATCTGGAAAGCTTTCCTGCATGGGCCATGCAGTATCTAGTGTCTGTTTCCTAAACTTGTTCTAGTATGGGAATCACCTGAGGCAATTTAAAAAAAAAAAAAAGATTTTTAAACCGGCTGAAGCAGATGTGGGTGTGGTCTAAGCAAATTTAGTATTTGGATAAGGCCAAGGAAAACAGATCTCTTGGGAGCCTGTCTGCTCTGATTGATATTAGGTCTCTGGGAAACTACTATAAAAAGGTTCTGCAGACTTGAGAAACATTCTGTAAACAAGGCTGATTGATTAATATACCAGTGGAGAAACTCTTTTAGGACATAAAGAAAGGGTCTTTGGAGGCAGTGAGGGAAATGGTAATAAGTTCTGAATAATGAGTTAAGTGAGAAGTCTTTAATTTAGTGACTATGGAATGGCCATCAAGTTGGGGAAAGGTGAGAGAGGAAGATCCAGTGACTGTGGCAATGGCCTCAAGCATGACAGGATAGCGCAAGGGGTTGGTTGTTCGTGGGCTGACTATGAGTTGTACTTTACTGGACCTTACAACACCAGTGAGGTGGCTAGTGGGTAAAGTGTTGGCCTGTCAACCCAGAGGCAAGTGAATCTAATCCACCAGCTTCTGAAAACCAGCTTGAAGGATCAGCTGTGAGTTGGTTCCAACTCGATAGCACATGACAACAAAATCATAGGGCATTAGTTTCTTTATCATTGGCTGGCTCTGGCAGGAGGACTTTTAACTTTTAAAACTGCCATAAATCAGACTTTTACATCCAAGTTCATACATTTCAAGTTTGTGGGCTTCTTATCTCTTGAGAGAGGTCTGACCTTACCCAGGACCCCAAGTCTGGCTTCACCTAGGACATTTGATATAAATATTGTGCAGCTCTGGAAAACATCTCTGGGAAACTGTCAGAGGTTATGGTGAGATTAGCTACCATGGTTTATGGTTTGAGTTTGAAGGCTAAGCAGTTCTCCTAGCTTGTCTCACAGCATGAGATGGAGTTGGAGAGCATTTGTGAACCCCACTGACTGGGTCCCCCCAAAGTACCTGGCTCAGCAGGTGAGCTTGCCTTTCTGGCGGTGCTCTTCCTCCTCCAGGTGGTGATGCTGATGCTGCTTGCCTGGGATTCTGCCTTTGAGAAGCTGTAGGAGAGACGGAGCCTTGAGTGGCACAGATGGTCTGGCAGTTTGAACCGACCCAGCTGTGCTGAGGAAAAAAGATGTGGAAATTTTCTTCCAAATATGCCACTGTGCCTATTCCAACTCATGGGGACCCCATAATTATAGCCAGGATTTTTCCATGGGGAAATGAAGCAGCTCTCCAGGGAGTATACAAGCCATAGCCATGAGTCAGGACCGTAAAACTGATATAGTAGAAGGTGACAGGATGATGCAGCCTCCTCCGTCTTTATCACCTGCCATCCTTGGCCTTGGACAGGTCAATTAGCTCTCACTGCTTCAATTTAACATTTGAAAATGGAGGGACTGAGCCCCAAAAGAGTGCTGGTGGCTTAGTGGGTAGGGATTTCTGCTGTTAACCAAGGAGAGATGGTTCAAATCCAGCAGTTGCTTCTCAGGAGAAAGGTAGGCTATCTTCTCCTGTGCAGTTTACAGCCTTTGAAAACCCACTGGAGAGGGTCAGCTATGAGTGGGTTCCAACTCGATGACAAATAAATAAATGGAGCTGAGGGCTACCAAGAGGTTATAAAGATAGAATGCTGGCGGGGGGGTGGGGGGGACTGGAATGGGAAACATAAAAGCATAAAAGCCAAGTCTTATTATTAACAGTACAATCCTGTGTGGGAGTCATAGAGCCAAGGTAGAGGACAAAGGGACACTGTGACACAGTGCAACCCTGGACAGACACGCCTCTGCCCAGCACTGCCCACTTGGCAGTGCCCCAGCCTGGGGCTTGGGGAAGGTTTAATCCACAACAGTTGCCCTCAGCAAACCTCAGTCTCTAATGCAGACAACATAACTCCTGTCTGCAGATTGCAGAGAGAAGTCTCTCCGTTTCGTGCCTCTGAGGGGCCAGTTTCCAGAATGTTCTCTATGAATTGCTTGCTCTTTTCCTGGTTGTGTTACGGTTTAGGAAGCTCGTTTGTTCCACATCATTGACTTCTCCCTGCCTAGGTCCTCACCCATCAACTCTAGGCCCCGAGTCTTTCTGAGACAAACCTCATTTCTGCAAGAGAACCCTTTCCCTGCAAACGTTGGCCCCCACTTGTATGGAGAAACTCTCATCTTTAGTTTCAGGTTCGAAAGCTCTCCAGCCTGCCCAGATGTGTGGTATCTCCTGGACGGAGGGGGGTGGAGGGACGGTCAGAGGAGAAACTCGCTTTTGAACTTGGCTGGTATTATTGCTCTGCTTGTTAATGACAACATAACAGCCACTGCTTATTGAACTCTTGATGTTCCTTGTGCTGTGCTAAATGCCTACCTCGTTATCCATTTAGGCTGCACAAGAGGAAGCTTATCTCCTTTCTGCGTGGCAGAAAGTTGGATACAACCATTCAGAAAGGTCAAGCTGTTATTACGTGAAGCCACACACCAGTTTAGAGGCAGAGCTGTGATTTGAACTCAGATGTTGGATTCAAAGTCTTTTGTTTTGGTAATCCTTTTTTTAATTGCAAGCAAACTTTCAAGAAGACCTGGGGCGGGGGTAGTTAGGCTCAGGCCACTAGAACAAAAGTAGTAGGAAGGGCGTTCTCGGAGCACAGATGAGGGAGGGGAAAAGGCCTTGTTCTCTCAAGAACGCCTGAGAGGCTCCGAGCCTGGTGGTAGGGCCTCAGTGGAAATGACTTCCAAACCAAACCCCACTCGTAAACATTCCTGAGCTCGTCAGCCGTCCTGGGAGAACCGTTGGCAGCTGAACTGCACCAGGGTGTGGGGCTGAGACAACTGTTGGCCGGCTCTGTGTAAACAAGGCGTGAGGGAGAGCTCTGGGCCTCTTGGAGAAACTTCCCCGAAAGAGCTGTGATTTTCACAGCAAAGAGAATCCATTTCACTCTCTGGGTGAGAGAGGCAGGCTGTGAGGCCCTCCTCTGCTTGTGTGGGGAGAGGTCCCCCACATGCTGCCTCTACTTAACTTCTCTTCCCAGTTAGTTTCTTAACCAAGAAATTAACAGCAGAGGGGCGAGTCCCCGCATGGGGCAGATGGCTAATGAGTGTGCCCGCTAGCTGAGAGGTTGATGGTTCGGGGCCATGCAGAGGCACCTCGGAAGGAAGGCCTGGTGATCTACTTCTGAAACATCAGCCATTGAAAACCATGTGGGGCACAGTTCTACAGTTCTACTCTGACACACATTCGGTCACTATGTTGTTGTTGCTGTTGTTATGTGCCATCGAGTCGCTTGCAACTCATAGCGACCCTATGTACAAGAGCCCTAAACGCTGTTCTATCATAACCATCTCAAATGTACTCATTCCCACTGATCCAGTCACAGAATCGATCCACCTCATCGAAGGTTTTCCTCTCCTTTGCCGCCCCTTCACTCTGCCAAACATGATGTCCCTCTCCAAGGACCAGTCCCTCTTTGTAACATGCCCAAAATATGTCAGACAAAGCTTCCGAATCCTTGACTCCAAGGAGCATTCCGACTTCACCTTCTCCAGGATAAACCAGTTTGTTCTCCTAGCAGTCCATGGTATATTCAACACTCTTCTCCAGCACCACAACTCAAAGGCATCAATTTTCTTTCTATCAACTCTATTCACTATCCAACTCTCTGATGCATAGCACATAATTGCGAAGACTATAGCCCAAATCAGGTGCACCTTAGTCTCCAGCCTGACGTTGTTGCTCTTCAGTACTCTTGAGAGGTCCCTCACAACTGACTTTCCCAGTGCAATTCGTCTCTTGATTTCCTGGCTGCTGTTACCAAAAGTGTTGATTGTGGAGCCAAACAAACTAAAACTGTTAACTATCTCAATCTCTTCACCATCCATACTGATGCTGTCAATTGGCCCAGTGGTGAGAATCTTTGTTTTCTTGATGTTGTGCTTCAATCCATATAGGAGGCTGCAGTCCTTGACCTTCTGCAGCAAGCGCTTCAGGTCCTCCTCAGTTTCAGCAAGCAGGGTTGTGTCATCTGCATAACACAGGTGGTTGGTGCCTCTTCCACCAATCCTGATGCCACATTCCTCTTCGTACAGCCCAGCCTCTTGGATGATCTGTTCTGCATACAGATTGAAAAGGTATAGAGGCAGAATACATCCCTGATGGACCCCCTTTTTGATTTTGAACCATGTAGTGTCTCCTTGTGGAAGGAGGAGTGGCGTCCACTTCCATAATAGCTTGCCTCTGGAAACCCTATGAACTTGGAGAGAGGATGAAAGGCATCCAAGCGTAGAGGACTCTCCTTCATAGGGTCGCTATGAGTCTCCTGCGACTCGACGGTGCTTAGCAACAACAACAACAACAGTGTCTCCTTGCTCTATTCTGATGACTACTGCCTCTTGGTCCAAGTATAGGTTTTGCATTAGCAAAATCAAATGTTCTGGGATTCCCTTTCTTCTCAGAGTCAGCCACAGCTTGTTGTGATCCACACAGTCAAAAGCCTTTGCATAGTCAATGAAGCACAGATAGACATTCTTCTGGTATTCTTTGCTTTCTGCCAAGATCCATCTAACATTAGCTATAATATCGCTAGTACCACGACCTCTTCTAAATCCAGCCTGTACATCTGGCAGTTCTCTGTTGACGTATAAAGGGTCTCGGAGGTACACGCGATATATCACAAGGAAGCTATCTCCTTATCTTACAGTTAAGGAGCTCAGGACTGCAACCCTGAAGTATGATTGATGTCTTTGTGAAAACAAGAAAGAGTGTCGCCTCCTCTTTGAGCTGTCAGGGAGTTCTGTGCCTCTAAAAGCCGTATTGCTCTGATCGGAATGCTTCTCTAGGATTGTGGTGCCTACCTCCTACCCCGAGGGGTGTAGAGCTTAAGTCACTCCGCCTTCTCCTCCAGTCCCAATTTATCATCCCAGCTGCCTGTGGTTCTCTCACTGGAAGGGACATAGGTGCAGCCAGGATGCAGTGCGGTTCTTGGGGAGAATTCTCCTGGAATTGATTTCCTGGCTACAGTCGCTCCCGGGGAGCTCGCCATGGTGTTGGAACCAACTCCCAGCTGACTCTCCAGTGGATTTTGGAGACTTTAAACTGCGTAGGGGCAGATTGCTCATCTTTCTCCCTTGGAAATGCTGGTGGATTTGAACCACAGGGGTCTTGGCCAGGGGATTAGCAAAGCAACTCCCTGGGAACTGTGTCACCAGAGCTCCTACCTCTGATGTAGCCGTCATCTCTCAGTGGCAGCTCTTGTGTTGCTCTGATGCTGAACAGGTTTTAGCAAAGTGTCCAGACTAAAGTTTTCTAGGAAAAAGGACCTGGGATCTACTTTCAAAATGCCTTGTGGGTAGCAATGGTGCCATCCACAACCACAGCCCTTCATGAAGATGACACAGGACAAGCAGTGTTTGGTTCCTGCTCATGGGGTCACCACGAGGTGGAGGACGACTTCATACCACTAACAGCAATAAAACGCTTTAATCCTGCCCTCCCTCTGTCTCCCCAGAGGTGGGGTGGGAAACAGCCCATCTATCAAAGACTATTTCCCCCTCTTTCTTGTTTTTTTCCTTTTCTTGTTATTTCAAAGGATGTTTGTGTGTGTTTGGTGCTTTCTGAGTGGGAGTCCAGGACACTAAGTGGTTAATATGCTTGATTGCTAACCAAATGCTGGGCGGTTAAGTGTCCACTCAAAGGGCCTCAGAAGAAGGGCCTGGCCATCTGCTACTGGACAATGAGCCTTTGAAAACCCCATGAAGCCCAGTTCTACTCAGACACAGGGGTTGCCAGAAGGTGGAATGCACTTGATAGCAACTAACAACCACACACACAAGACAGCATGGAGGCAGTCAGAGAAAGGGAATTTGGATGGCACAGTATTGGAATCTCCAGGTATTTTCAGGAGTTCAGGGGGATACTGGTCTGGATATGTAGGCCCTCAGGTGTTGGTGAGCCCAGGGAAGAAGAGATAGAGAATGGCAGAGGAAGGGTGAGCTGCAGGACAGAACTCAGAACTCAAACTCATTGCCATCGAGTCAGAACCGACTCATAGCTGACCCTCCAGCAGATTTTCAGAGGCTATAAATTGCACAGGAGGAGATTGCCCATTTTTCTCCCATGAAGCTGCTGGTGGATTCGAACCACCAATGGACTGGACTTTTCCCTCAAAGAAGTGAGTGTTCCTGGTCATTGTGCCTTTTGTTCCTGTGTCTCTATTTCAGGAGTGGCTATGAATCTGCGTCACAGGACTTCATCGCCGATGACTTGGAGGTCCAAGTTCCTGGAAGAGCCTTCCTGATCACTGGAGGGAACAGCGGCATTGGGAAAGCAACTGCCCTTGAAATTGCCAAGAGAGGTGAGCACCTTGCTAACCCGGCATCCTCTGAGCCTGCAGCCAGCCTGCCCAGTGCATGTGGAAGGAGCACCCTTTGTTCTTGGCAGGTCAAGAAGAGCCTGACTAGTGCAACCAGGAGTGCTAGGCAGTTGCCCCTCGGTGATCGCACAGCTGCCAGATTTTCTTCTGAGCTGAGTATGAAGCTTCCATTTAGAAGTGGACAGAGTGGCAACTAGGGAAGCCTTTCCTAGACATTTAATATCCTGACATTCTACTAACTGGAAGGTCGGTGATTCCAACCCAGCCAGGGTCTCCACAGGAAAAAGGCAAGGAGATATAATGTCACAAATATTATAGCCAAGGAAATCCACATGGGGCCCCTGTCAATCAGAATTGGCTTGATGGTAATAGTATTTTGCATCCTCCATCCTCCTCCTTGCTCGCTGGTGGCCTAGTGGTAAGAAACTGCACTGTAGTCCCAAAGGCACTCAGTTCAAATCCACTAGCTGCTCCATGGGAGAAGAATGGACAGTATCCTCTCATGCAATTTACTGTCTTTGAAAATCTGTTGGAGAGTCAGGTATTGGCTGGTTCTGATTCAACAGTATACAATAACAACCAGCACCTTGGTTCATATCCCAGGTCTTTTCAATGAGAATCTTAGTTGGAGGTGAAGGGGGTCTACAAGAATTTGAATCCATATTCAAATTTTATTGAAGAACCAGTGCCCACTATGGTGGTGGAGTCATTGGGAAAAGGACAGTGATTCTGGCTGCACATATGTGTAATCATGGTCACTGAACTGTACATTTTGAAATAGCTGGATTGGCATGAGAGGACACACTAGTGACCCACAGAATGACTGTAAAGATTTCAAGAGTGCGGGTTGAAAGGTGGAGGTGACCATCTTTACTCAGTCTTGCTGTTCAGATTCAGGGCGAGAGCAGTGTGCTGGCCTGGCCTCCCAGTCCTGACCTTCACTTTGCCAAGAGGCCCTCCAGGTGTCTGTCAGTTACTCACTCGACAGCACAAGCCTTCCTCTGGGTAAATGTGGGGGTTTCCTGCACCCCAGCTGACACTGTGATGGTTAGAACAGCTAGCCGGGCCTCTGGGTTCCAGCGTAGGTGGAGGGAATAAATGAAGGATTTATCACTTTTCAAGATAACTAGACTGATTGGGCATTGGATTTGGGTGTGTGTGTTTTTGTTTAGTTATTTATTTCAATTCATAGCGAGTTGGGTTGCACCGGCTTATCCAGAGGTTCCTCCCCGGTGGTTCAAATCCACCTGCATCTCAGCAGGAGAAAGTTGGGGAGTCTCTTCCTGTGCAATTTACAGCTTCTGAAAACCCACTGGAGGGTCACCTATGAGTCGGTTCTAACTCAGCCACAATGAGTGAAAACCATGTTAGGGCTTTTCCAAGAGCATAAAGTGCCTTTTGTAGCTTTAGTTATCTCTCAAGTCAAGGAGGAATTAACTGCATTTTAACATTTGGGAGAAGCAGTGTAATGGGTGCACTTACCCTGCAGCCTTTGGTAGAATCGACCTCCTTATTGAACCAAGTGAGGGATTTTGGGTGAGCTCAGACTGAAGAGAGCCTGGCGTCCACTGCAGCAGGGTGACTGTCACTCTGGACTCTGGGTCTCAGTAAATAAGCATTGAATCGCTGCTGCTCCGTCCTGGACACTTCACTCCATCTCTGTTCCCATCATCTGTGTTTTCACAAACCCCTCAAGGGAGTGTTTCTTGAAGTCAGGGCTGAGCCCCCTTTCCCACCTTCTACCCTTCCCTCCACAGGCACTGAGGATGCCGGAGACCCTCAGACCTACCCCTCTCCCCAGGCTGAGACCCCGCTTCCAGCTGGGCGCGCTTCCAAGCGCTTATGAGAGCAACTAGATTTTCTCCAATTGTCCTCCTGTCAGGTGCTCTTTCGAGAAGCCCATATGTCTTCATTTTTTTTTTTTCCTTCTTACCAAATGGGAAAACCTGTTGTCTGAGGCCAACGCTAACTCCTGGGCGGTTTCGTGTTTTTCCACCAGGTGGCACAGTTCACCTGGTTTGCAGAAATCAAGAGCGCGCAGAAGGTGCCAAAGGTGAGATCTTCAGGGAGAGCGGGAACCAGGTGAGCGCGCGCCACCCCTCCTATGGGGATTGGGGTGGGATGGGCTGTAGGGTGTTCTCGCTCTGGGGTCGGGTGGGCCTTGTTCCGCCCACGCTGAGTTGACATCTGCCGGTATTAGTGCTTTCGCTTCGAAGTAACCTGAGCCAGTTGGAGAGCCAGAGCCTTTGAACAGCTGGGTCTTGACCTGTGACCACGGGGCACTGAGGTTTGAACCCGCATCCCCTGGCTGCTGCGGAGTCCGCTTGGCAGGGCGAGCGTTGCCGCCAGCTCTTACAATTGAGAATCTTGTGGCGAGGTTTTTTCTGCGGGATGCAGGCAGGCCACACCACATACCCTCCGTGGGCTGGGCCAGTGCAGCATTTATCAGTAGGGAACTCGGGCTCTGGGAGGCTTAAACTGACACAGTGGCTTTTCATTTTAATAGTGATGAGAACCCTTTACTAACAAGAGCGAACAGATCTTGAACACAATTTGTGGCTTTCTTCTGAGAGGCCTATTGGTGATCTGGTTGTAATTTGTTGTAATTTGCAGGTGTGTAGGGAGCTCTGGTGGCCCAGCCTGGAGGGAGATGGCGTTGCTAATTCAAAGGCTGCACCTCTCCAGGAACTCTGTGGGACAAAGATGCCTAGTCCACTCCTGTGTAATTTACACAAACAGTGGAGGTTCCTAGCTAGGAGTCTGCTTCTACTCTGCTGCAAACAGTGCAAAACGGGAGTCTGCAGATGGTGCCCAGGTTAACGCACACGGATGGGCAGTGCAAAATGAACTGGGTACTGTTCAGTGGGCACTGTTCCTAGTCATCAAAGCTGTGTGCAGCCCCACCACCTGTCCATCAGTGGGTGCTTCCGTGGGTTATGAGAAGGAAGACATTTCAGCAGAGCTCTCAGATTAAGATGGACTAGGAACAACGGCCTGGTGAATTCTTTCTCCAAATGAGTCACTGATCACAAAGGTCCCGTTAACCACAGATCACAGGATGGCTTTTGGCTGGGCAGTCTTTTTGTTCCTTTGTCCTTGGGGTCCCTACCAGTCGGTGATGGCCATTAACAGCAACAAGAAAAGCACAGTGAAAAGGCAGGGCGCTTGTTTAAAAATTATCATGAGTTTCAGGACAGGTGAGACCAGGATATTAAACCAAGTGCTGGAGCGATGCTCTAGGCCCTGTACCCAGCACAGCTGCCGGGAGGTGGAGGGGCAGGGCCTCTGGGAGGACTTCCACTCAGCTAGGCCACTCACCTCTATGCCCACTGGGAGCGTCCTCCTTCCTCTCCTCTGAGCCTGCTCTCCAGCAGACCTCCTGCTGCAGCTCTTCCTCCTGGAGGGCAGATGAGGGACGTCAGCACCCCAGGCCTCAGGTGTGAACCTCAGCCAAAGCGACAGTGTCACAATCTAGGACGGAATATTTAGCATGTGCTTGGGAATTTTATTATTACCTTTTAAATGACCTTATCAAAAACCAAGTGGCTGTTACGCGCCTCTTCTCACAAGACATCTGCCGTCACACGCCACCAATCGCTTTACAAAGGCTTAGAGCTGGCAGCCGGTGTGAGGGTCTCTAAATCTTCCTCTAATATCACTGAGTGCCTGTGCGAGCTGCGCTCTGCAGTTCTCCAGATGAATGCTGGCTGGCTGCCTGTTGATAACTTGGAGCTGTGGGGCCAGAGGATGTTCCAGGAATTCTAATCTCAGGCCACGGCAGAGGAGGATTCCCTGGGATTCTAGCCTGCTGCGGTTTGGGCCACATGTTTTTCAAAGTGGATTTATCTAGGCAAGGAAGAAACTATGGTTCTGTGAATAATATTGAGGCATATCAATATCCAAATTCACCATCTCTGAGAGGGGGTGAACAGGGCTGAAGGACTTCCATGTTGTTGTTGTTGTTGTTGTTGTTGTGTGCCATCGAGTCAGAACTGACCCATAGCTGACCCTCCAGCAGGTTTTCACAGGCAATTAAGTGCACAGAAAGAGACTGGTGGACTCAAACTGTGTGCCTTTGGGATTGTAGTGCAGCTTCTTGCCACTAGGCCAGCAGAGCTCCGAAGGACTCCCTGGGTGGTGTAAATGGTTGGTATGTTCAGCTGCTGAAAGAGAAGTTGGTGGTATGAGACCACCCACAGGCACCTTGGGGTAAAGATCTGGCAACTGATTTGTAGAAAATCAGCCACGTTCACAGTGAAAAGAAAATATTTTGTAATAATACGGTGTTTGTTGTGCGCTGCGGAGTCGGAGCTGACTTGTCGCTGCCCTTCCAGCTGATGTTCAGAGGCACTAAATGGTATAGGAGACGCTTGGCCATCCGGCTCCTATAGAGCAACTGCTGGAGCAACAGGTCAGTTCGAACCCGCTTTTGGGGTTGCAATGCGATTCTTACCACTAGGCCACCAGAGCTTCCTTATAGTAATTCCAAGACACTGGGATTTTTATCATGTTGCTGTTGTGTTGGTGGTGCAGGAGGCATTACTGACTGAAACAGCTTGACTCTTACCTTGGATCAGGTAGGGAAATCAAACTGTACAAAGAGTAGTTTTATGTTTTTTTTATATTTATATTGATATTATTTATATTATGTATATGTATGTGTATGTGTATGTGTATATGTATATTTATTTATATATATGATTCTGGTTTCACTTAAGAATGAAATTGATGAAGAAATAAAATTCACTTTATTAGATCTGGGGAAAAGGTTAAAACCAGCTTTTCATTTTAGAGCGGTTTCTGTTGTTGTTAGGTGCTGATTCTGACGCATGGTGACCCCATTTATGCAGAGCTGAACTGTGTGGGCTCTCCAGACGGGGAACTTTCAGAGGCACATCACCAGGCCTTTCTTCCGAGGCATCTGTGGCTGGGTTTGAACTGCCATACTTTCTGCTAGCAGCAGAGCACTTACCCTGCTGTGCCACCAGGGACCACAGCCATAGTCTGCAGTTATTCAATCAAAAACTTACCTAGATCCTTTCATCACAGGAATGTTTCATCTCTAAGGTCTCCGGCTATTTGGGGGAAAATGTTTTGATAGACTTTAATTTTTTTTTGCCTAAAAGGCAAAACATGATGTTTCAAGACATCCAAGCCGAAGCTCCTGATATGGAGGCCAGTCAACAAAGAAAGCACGCAGAGTGGCTCCTCATGGCCGGCTCTGACGTATCTGTGGTTATCTGCACAGGCTTATGGATTGTAGCTCTGGGAATCTTCGTCATCGTGTGTGACGCCTCTCATTTCCTGACCTCCTGGGCTGTAATAACAGTGGTGGTTTTGAGCTTCCTTTTTGTTGAACTCAGTGGAGTGATAATCTGGTGTGGGCTGAACCAGAACTCTTGGAGAATCACACGCCAAAGAGGAGCACTAGAAAGGAGGACCGTGGGGTCAGAGATGAGTCTCGCAAAACCCAGGACAGTTCTGAGAGACTCAACTCCAACCCTTGGCAATAATTGTTTCCTGAACCTGTTATATGTGGCCTTGGCTCTTTTGTTTTAAGCATCTTGAGCATTGTTTTTAAATTCTAATAAACTCTGGTTCTTAAAAAATAAACCAACACAAAAAAAAAACCAGACCCAAACAAACACTAAAACCAAAACCTAACTTACCTAGATGTTGCAATGATGTTCTCTTATAGATGTGATTAGATTTGTCATCAACTGATTTGGAGCAAAAGGGATAATAGTTTTAGATGCACAGAAAAGCCCAGTTTTCATGTCATGCTAGGTTTGTCGACTGATGAACCATTATTGGTATACTATTAACCAAAGTCTGTGCGTTACCGAGAGTCCCACGTCTGTTAGAAAGCATGTGTCTTAAAGTTCTGCATACTTTCCCGGTGTTTTGTGGCCTTGACAGTTTTAGCGAGCACTGGCCAGGTATTTTATTTTGCAGAATGTCCCTCGATCAGAATTCGTCTCTTGTCTCAGGAGCAGACTAGGGTAGCAGATGGCTCAGGCAATCTCCTAAGCACTGCACCAACCTCTGATGTGGCTGGCAGGTGACAAGCACATTTTGAAACAGCAACAACTTTCCAGGTCAAGTGGGTTTCTAGCTTGAGATTCATGACTTAGCTTCCTGAACCGTCGGCATTGATAGGAAACCAGGCCTCACTCCCACGCAGGGGCTGGTCCTTCTGAGAGTGTGTGTTGGCATGCTGCTGCCCACTTGTCCAGAGTTGCTCTCAGACATGGTGAGTGGTTCCCGTGTCATCACCTTGTGATGCAGCAGCTCGTGGGTGGAAGGCATCCCAGTTGGGGTTTAGTCTGTTTCAGGAACCACACTTGTATCTCAGGACTGAAAGGTGTGTGCAGTGTTGGCGCCTTGGGGTACTGTGGCTGGCATGCCCTCTTCCTTGTGTAGAACAGCACATGGAAGCTCTGACACACACACACACACACACACACACACACACACACACACCTATTCTGGTTCCATCCGCCCCTGGCCTCTCCTCCTGGCTGCACCCTGGCTTCCTGATTTCTCCCAGCAGGACCTTAAGCAGCACTGCGAAAGACAGCCCTGGCTATCTGCCTTTGTGAAGGGCTGGTTCCCCTCAGAGGGAGACAGAAGTTTCCTGCATCCTTTTAGGTGTCTCTTTCCACCAAACTTGTCTAGGATAGTGACTCTCCCTCTTCTTTCTGAGACATGTCAGATGTGCAAGGAGGCTGTGGACTGATTTGCTTCACTTTAATTTTTGTGTTGTTTTTGGTTTTAAAAACCACAAACCCTGTTCTTGTAAAAGTGCTATGTAGCACTGTTGGGTGGGCGGGAGTTTCAGAGAAGGATTAGGTGTCTAGACTCAGCCTACAAGCAGTATGGGCTGAAACAGGGCGAGTCAGCGGCCGGCCTCAATGGGCTCTGGGTGCTGAGGGCCGTCACCGACCTTGGTGAACGGCGGAGTCTGTACACACACAGCACTTCCTCTCATCTTTGAAGGTAGCAAGGGTATTCGCTGTGCCAGACTGAAGCAGAGGATGGTATTCAAACTGACTGCAGCCCTGAGTCATGAAAACATGGGATTGCTGCGGTGTCCCCTTTCTCTGAGCCTGCCTCTCTCTCTCTCTGTGAGAAAATGATAGGTTGCAAGAGCAGAAGGAAGATGTCCTGACCCCAGCCATGAGTCCCGGGGTGTCATGCTCAGCATTTATGTGCTAAGGTGTGTCCTCGGTTGTTAGGTGTTGTTAAGTCAGTTGGACTCAAAGCTGCCCTGCGTGCCACAGGATGGAGTATTACCCGGTCCTGCTGCAGCCTCACGTACGTGCTGTGTTAGAGTCCAGGGCTGTGGTCAGTCCGTCTTCTCTCTCTCACGGAGCCTCTACTTTACCAAGCAGGATCTCCTTCTCCAGGTCCCTCCTGATAACACGTCCAGAGTGTATGTGGCCACGTGCCAGGGAGGATGGTAAGACATCTTTCCCTCTAAAGAGCGTTCTGGCTGCACTTGTTCCAAGATGAACTTATTCGAGATTCTTTGCTAACACTGTCATGTTAAAGACTCCTATTCTTACTTGTTTTTTCTTGTCCATTGTACAGCTTTCACGTGTTTGTGAAATGACTAAACGTACAATCCCCAAAGTTGCATCTTGGCTTTTCAACAAGTTAAAGAGCAGATTCTCCTGGTGCAAAATGAGTTGTTTTCTATCCTGCTGCTTCCATGGGTGCTGGTTATGGATTCCTTCCATCTTCGGAATTCCGACCTGAAGGTTAAGATTTTTCTTCAGTCTTTTTTCAGCTGAGAAATGCTGAGCATGTTCCCCTCCCCCCTTTTGGTTTTTTAACTCCTCATCTTTTGTCCATTTCAAGATAACACTTTACCATGCCTTCCTGAACCAGCCTTTGAATTCTGGTCAGCTTTATTTCACATCATCATTTCTTCCTTTCACTTTGGCTACTCTGTGTTCAACAGCAAGCTTGAGTCTCTTCTGACATGTATTTTCATTTTTCCTGTCTTTTTAACGTGTTGCCGCACACTTTTAAATTGACAGCCGTGCTTATTTTTTCCCATTCAATGTATTACCATCATTTGCAGCAACGTGTTAATTGACCTTTTGCTTTCTTCTTTTATGATGTTCTTGATGTCATCTCACACTCATTTTGCCTTTGTGCGTTAGTGTTTAATGTTGTTGCTGCTGAATCAGAACCAATCCACTGCTAACACAGTGGGCTTTCAGAAGCAGTACAAGCTAACATAGTGGGTTTTCAGAAGCTATAAATTGCAGGAGGAGTTTGTCCATCTTTCTTCTGTAGAACAGCCGATGGATTAGAACCATGTGCCTTTGGGATTGTAGCACAGCTGTTACCATCAGGTCACCAGAGTCCCTCAAAGGTACTCTTGTTGTTTGTTCTTATGTGTCATTGAGTCACCTGAGACTCATTGTGACCCTATGTACAACAGTTCTGAAGCCTGACCTATCCTGAGCCAGTCTCACTGGCTTGGACACACCTAACCCCATTACCCCAGTTACTGGGTCAATTCATCTCATTTGCGGTCTTCCTCTCCTCCGCTGTTCCTCCACCCTTCAAAGCATGTTCCTCTTCAAGGACTGGTCCCTCCTGGCCACATTCCCAAAGTATGTGAGATGGAGCTTCAAAATCCTATCTTCCACAGAGAAACTTAGTTTCACCCTCTCCAAGACATACTTGTTTATTCTCTTGGCAGTCCATGATATGTTTAGTACTCTTCTCCAGCACCATAACTCGAAGACATAGATTCTTCTTCTGTCATCCTTAGACATGGTCCAGCTCTCTGATATGTAGCAAGTAATTGCAAAGACCATGGCCTGGATCAGGCTAATCTCTAGACTGACATTGTTGCTTCTCAGTACTCTGGAGAGGTCCCTGACAACAGAATTTCCCAGTGAAATTCGTCCTTTGATTTCCTGACTTGGAAATAACAACATTTCCAAAAATGTTGTTTGTGGAGCTGAGCAAGCTGAAATTGTTAGCAATCTTAATCTCTTTTCTGTTGATCATGGTGCTACCAGTTGGCTCTGTAATGAGAACGTTTTTCCTTCTTGACGTTGAGCTTCAGTCTACATTGAAGGCTGCAGTCCTTGACCTTCTGCAGCAAGTGCTTCAGGTCTTCCTCAATTTCAGCAAACAAGGTCTGTCATCTGTGTAACACAGGTTGTTGATGAGTTTTCCTTCAATTCTGATGCCGCATTCCTCCTCATAACACCCAGCCTCCCAAGTGAACTGTTCATTACATAGATTGAAAAGCTATGGAGTTTTTCCAGCTTCAACTTAAACTTGCATAGGAACAACTGACAGTCTGTTTCACAGTTAGCTCTTAGTCTTGTTCTGAGTTATGATACTGAACTTTTTATGATTCCTGTGTATCTCAACTGGCAATATATAGATGTACACTTGCTGTTAATGTTGTTTAAAAAAGGTATTTCCTATGGGAAGGCCATTGGTTTTACAAATTCTATCCTGGTGTTGGAGAAGAGTACTGAATATACCATGGAT